CAATAAGGTAAATTTCGTTGTCGTTTTCATTTTTATTTTCGTCTTCTCATGTTCTTCTTCTGTTTCTTTTCGTTTTTTCATGATTTCTCGTCTCTGTGTTGTAGGTCCAGTTTGGGTTCGAAACTGGAACGGCCCGTTCTGCAAGGAGAAAGGCCCGTTCTCCAAGGAGAACGGACCGTTCTCCAAGGAGTACGGGCCGTGCTCCAAGTTACCTTTTAGGCATTTTGATCAGACTGGAACGACCCGTTCCAGTTTATTTTTTTCCCACATCCAGACTTTTAAGATTGATTATAAAACAACCGATTTTAAAAGTTAAACTTTTAAAATCGGCTCTTTCAAGATCGGTTAAAGAACCGATTTTAAAAGTAAAAAATAACCGATTTTAAAAGTCTTTTTTCCACTAGTGAAGTTTTCATTTTCTTGACAATAATATTATACTTTTTTAGTTTAAGTGGCAAAATCTGAGAAACCATATGTTGTGAATTGATATCCAAAATTGTTGTTGATCTAACAAGCTTAAAAAATCATGTTTTAAAGTTGGTTCGATAGGGTCAAGTCACTTAGATTGTTCACTTGTGTTGTAAGAGATCTTTTAGTGAAAATGCATGATAACATATTATGTTGTTGTGTGAATATATTGTGAAGTTGAGATATGTGTTGAAAGTTGATATATGTTGTTATGTTGCAATGTTATTTAATTTGTTGTGTTCTTAAGTTGAGTTGTGAACTACTGTGTTAATCACATGTTGTGTTGAAGAGTAGTATTATTGATATACTAAGTTGATATTTTAGTAAGTCGTGTGGTCTATGTATCAAGTTGGATATGTTGTTGAGTTATAAGCACATGGTGTATGTTGAAGTTATGTATAGTTAGTATATATTATTTCCATACTATGTTGTTTATTTTGAATATAAAATTGCGCTTGCATTTTTCTTGTACTTTGAGAGTCATGTTGGAGGATGACAATATTCTTTTTGGACTACTCTAATGTAGCTTATAAATAGTAATTATTTTACCAATAACTTAGGATTTATGTTTTTAGTTATGAATTATTGTGTGTGTGTGTGTAAGATTGTGATATAGTTTCATCGAAGAACATTTATGTTTTCAATAGATTATTTCCTATACATACACACACATATATATGAGAAATTCATTTATTTCAGAAGTAAATATGTTTAGTCTTATTCTGTTCAATAACTTATATTCTACATATTAAATTTCAACAATCCAACTACTGGATTGAAAGTTCTCAATCTATAGATCAAGTCTGCAAACTTTTAAAAAATATGAAAACCATTTGATGTTTTGTTTCATTAATTCAAATTGATGGATAATCATAAAATTATTTTATGCGTTGATTTGAATTAATGAAATAAAATATCAAATGGTCTTCAAATTTTTTAAGAACTTGCAAACTTGATATATGCATTAAGAATTTTAAATTCAACGGTTGTATTGTTAAAATTTGATGTAAAACGTGAGTTATTGAACAGAATAAATTTAGGTAAACTTATTTTTGGAGTAAACAAATCTCTCTTCATATATATATATATTATTGCATGTACATCTAATAATTACTTGCATAATAATCCTAGAATTATACATTTTTTATTGTTTAGATGTCGAGTTGTAAAGTGTATGAACTTGTTTAATCAATACACTTTTATTCTATAAAAACTAAAGATTTTTCTAATAAAAAATTCTTAAAAAATTTGTTAACTTTTATTTTAACAGCAATAAAAAGATTAAAATAATATATTTAGAGTCTTAAGTTTAAATTAATCTCAGCGGTTCATTATAATTCTTATGCATTAAAAAAAATGTAAAGCAAGACAAATTAGTTCCTGTCCTCGCGTAAAGCATATATACGCTCAAACACGTGTATAATGGTACAATATAAACTAAAAATTTAAAGCCAAAAGTATTACCGTTATTAACTTAGACATTCTAATTCTAATTGCCAGCTCCTCCTATAACCTCTAAAAAAATCATCCTATAAGTATATAACAATTTCCCGTCAGTACCGGAGACTGTGAGCTCATAATTCCAAATGCAACATTGCTAATTGCTTAGATCACTGATGTTAGGATACTGGTTTTATGACTTTTTATCATAGTTAATTTGAAATGTGTCATTCTTCTTTAAAGATGTATAACATGGTGCTTGCAAATCAAACTATACTCCTATTACATATGGTGCATCTACGATGTTTGATTCCACAATAATAATTTTTCAAGCATTATTATTGGTATTATTATCAATCAATAACATTCAATTATCTACTTTGATCTCCATCATAGGCATATGCCATAATTAAGTGATTGTGAAAGAGAGTCTCAACTCTCATCATTGAGCTCATGCGATGAAATCACAGATTTTTTTAATGATCATTTTGTTTGCAACTTACAAGAAATTAAGCTGTCTTTTTGTGAGATAAAATTTATAGTTTTGATTACTTAGTGGATCTATATCTGTGGTAACCTCAACCATCAACACCTTCATTATTATCAACACATTTTTAGTTGCATCCAGCAATTTCAATTTCACTATCAATTAATTATATACTGCTCTCACATCTCATTGTATATTATTGTTTCATCAACACTATGTAGAGAAATTGATCCTCGCTCCTCGACCCCAAAAGTTTCTTTATTAAAAAAGAAAAGCAAAACATTATATTACCGAAAGAATGAATCAATTATGCAAGAGCTTTGTACCGACGTTCTTGTTTTTCTTAGTAAAAGGGGAAAAAATTAAGAAACATGCATGCGTCCTGTCTGAAGATAAAGAAATTAAAAAGGAAAAAAAGGGAAGAAGTAATTTAATTTCCTAACAACCATATGTACATTAAAATATGGTCCATTCTGTTCCAACACTGCTATATTATATATATTAGTAATTTATTAAAAGACATTTAAGTAAGGTAGCATCGATCACTTTAGAGGTTCTTTCGCAGGAAAGGTCGAAGATTCTGTCTATTGCTAGCTGGTTGCCATACCCATTAATCAAATTTCAATAACGATAAATATAGTTTTAGATTAATTTATCTTATACTTCAAATGATTTATAGCTATATTTTTAAGATGGAAACTTCTAAACAAATACCTAAGAAAATGCTAAAAATGTACTTCTCTTTTGCTCCGTGATCGCTCAATTGCCATAAGTGAAAAACTGCACCCAAGGGTTTGGTTCAAACAGAAGATGCATATAATTTTTTTTAGAATGATAATGCATGCATATACTCTAACTAATTTTTCTATAATTCTTATTTCTGTCTTATAAAAATGAATATATTTAATATATTAAAATTATAAAACGTGTTAAATATTCATTATATTATATAAAAATTAATAAGATAATAGAAAAACAATATAAAATTTTATAAGTATTCATCTTCTTTTATATCATGAACAATACAATTTCTTTAATTTGTAGCAATAATTTGCTTTGTGATCCTTACCACAACCTCTGACATTGTACGGCGCTGGATAATCCTCGTTCCAATGGAGAGCTATACCTTATCCATTGGTCGAGTTATCTGAAAAATATCATTTACATTGAACAGGTGCAGCTGGAGGTAGTTCATTCACATTTTATTATTATTAGATATAGTTCACATTCATTTTCTTTTTTAAAATCAGGAATTTTATTTGGTTTTCAATTAACCTCCCTCCAAGTGAGTCGGCTCATGTAGCAAAATGGAATATTTAGTATTGACTTTATTTTTAAATTGAAATTTGAATTTCAATTTTTAATTAACAAACACAAATATCTCTAATCACTTATGTCAATTAGTTGATACTCGATACAATTCACATGAACTATAATATTTCATTATTTGCTTGGTACGCATGAAAGAGAAAAAGAAAGATAGAAGAATGTTATTCTTTCCTTCCTTTGATTGATTAAAAAAGTGGAAGAAAAGATTACAAAAAAAATCAGTTTTTTTTAGATTAGGAAAAAAAAAGATAGAAACGTTTTATTACATATTAAGTGACTAAAATAATTTTAATTCTATGTACTTTTTAATAGAAATATATTTTTGTCATTTTATATACATACTTAATTTTTATTTTCTATTTTCATTCATATAAAAAAAATAACTTATAAAATCTATTCACTTTTCATTTATTTATTTTTCAATTCTTTTATTTCTTCCTTTTCTAAACCAGAAACACAACAAAAAGTTTTCCATTCATCAATAAACATCTTTGATTCTTGAAAGTATATTCATCGAAATATATATATAACTATAATATAAATATAAATATATTTTTCTGAGTTCTTTAATTTACGATCAAAGTTGTTGTCAGAATGTCAGCAATCAGCATGACAAGAGACAGATTAAAACCCAAGCTATAGGAGCAACAACAACGCAATCAGAAAGATATATGTGAGTATCGCCGAAGAGATAACCATGCCATACCATTGGTGGTCTCGTGAAGTTCTGACTAATGTCAGAGCCTTGAAATTCATTAAACTCACAATATTTGACAAACAAAATTTTATGACTTAAATTTATATTTCCCTTGCCACACGGCATCATCTTGGTGCATCCATAATGCATAATTGATAGACCCATGTACAAGTAAAAGACCTTGTTGCTCTTATTCTCCTTTGATTCCTTCCGTGATATCAAATCCAGTTGGCATCCACTGCCTGGTTTTCTCCAATTTTATTTTTCTAAATCATACTAAAATGGGACCTACGTTTATAAACACTTGGGACACAATCATGATTTGTACCAGTAACATAACATAGCATTATCTGCATTAAGCTCATAACATAACATAGCATAACTAAGTCCTAAACAACCAGCTTAATTAATAATCCAACGTTCAAACAAAAGGTTCCAGCTTTCAAAACTTGCAAAGCTGGCACCAGTCATTGATTCTTCACGCGTCCCACCATTCCCATTTTCCCACCATACACAGTTCCATATTCTCAGTCTTATTTCCCTAAACCTGTCTCCTCTTTAACACATATATATAGAGAGTGACCTTAACACATTCCTTCACATCACAACATCCACATCTCTTTCTCTCTCTTTCTCACATTGTCTCCAATATGGCTTCTACTCGCAACGAGTTTTATGCACTTGTGCTGCTTTGCTCCATGGTGGCTACATGTGCTGCTAACTTCAACCAAGATTTTGATCTAACATGGGGTGATCATCGTGCTAAGATATTCAATGGAGGCCAGCTTCTCTCTCTTTCACTTGACAAAATCTCTGGCTCTGGCTTTCAATCCAAGAAAGAGTACCTATTTGGGAGGATCGATATGCAGCTCAAGCTTGTTGCTGGAAACTCTGCTGGCACTGTCACTGCTTACTACGTACGTTTTATTTTATTCCTTTCTTCTCTTTCTCACTCCATTGTTCTTTCTTTTTCAAAAGCTACTTTGATATTACTTCATGAAATATAACATGCTTTTACCACTCGTAAATTACAACCATTATTACCAGCTTGCACACTTTAGGCATCAACCTTTCAAACAAGTTATGCCATAGCATTTTACTTTCACCACAACTATTACTTTTCACCCATTCTATTATTATTCATTTACATTCATTAACTTCACTATAACTAATTTTTATAAAAAAAAATATGGTATTTTTATTTAAAAAGTTGAGTTGATTATCAATTGTTATTTTCCACTACCGTTAAATGTTATTAACTCTTCCTCTTAAATTAAAAAACGTGTACACATAAAAAAATTGATAAAGAATGATGAACACATTGTTATATCGGAGTATCTAATGAGTTAAGCCTAAACAAGAACAGAACCTCATTTTCTTATTTGTGTATTTCCATTTGTATATGATGTGATGCAGTTGTCATCTCAAGGGCCAACACATGACGAAATTGATTTTGAATTCTTGGGAAACGTGAGTGGTGACCCCTACATTCTCCACACAAACGTGTTTACCCAAGGCCAAGGGAACAGAGAGCAACAATTCTACCTCTGGTTCGACCCCACCAGAAACTTCCACACTTACTCCATCATCTGGAAGCCCCAACACATTATGTGAGTACAAAAGAAAACAAATCCATTAATCGACAACAAAACAGTTATATTAATCCATTTATCTTTTCAGATTCTTGGTGGACAACATTCCCATAAGGGTGTTCAAGAATGCTGAGACTATGGGTGTTCCTTTCCCAAAGAACCAACCCATGAGAATCTACTCTAGTCTGTGGAACGCTGATGACTGGGCCACAAGAGGTGGTTTGGTGAAAACTGATTGGTCCAAAGCACCCTTCACAGCGTACTACCGCAATTTCAAAGCCTCAGAGTTCTCTGTGTCATCGAATTCGTTCTCTGATGGTGCATGGCAGAGCAACGAACTTGATGCATATGGCAGAAGAAGACTAAGATGGGTTCAGAGGTACTTCATGATCTACAACTACTGCAACGACCTTAAGCGATTCCCACAAGGCCTTCCCGCTGAGTGCAGGCGCTGATCCAGATTCCACACAAATTCATCTTTTGTAAAATATGTTACCTTATTATGTGTCGCTCTTATCATTCTTTCATTTCATGTTTCCCTCCGTGTTTTTTGTTTCTTAGTTTTTCCTTTCATATCTTATTACTACTATATCATATCATATTCATCATCAAAATAAATCAACTTTGTTCTACTGCTTTCTTGTTTAACAGATTTTAATTTGCAAACTCAATAGTTTCCGACTCTGTTAAGAATATATATATATATACACGATGAGTCATCCTTTTACTCAAGGAGTAAGTCTATATAGATTTATTTCGTTCAATAATTTATGTTTTATATCAAATTTTAATAATGCATAGATTAAATTTACGAATTTTTAGAAAATTTGAAAATTATTTAACATTTCGTTTCATTAATTTTAATCAATATACAAAATAATTTTATAATTATCTGTCAATTTGAATTAATAAAATGAAGTATTAAATAATTTTTAAATTTTTTTAAAAATTTATAAATTTGATCTATGTATTAAAAATTTTAAATTGAACAGTTGAATCGTTGAAATTTGATATAGAACATGACTTATTAAATAAAGTAAGTTTAGGTAAACTTACTTCGAAAGTAAAAGGATCTCTCCTCTCTCTTTATATATATATATATAATTTATTTTAGGCTAAAAACCTATTTTGGTCCCTTATAATAATTGTTTGTTTCAATTTAATCCCACTTTTATTTTTTGTTTTAATTTGGTCCCAAATTAATTAATTGGTTTCAATTTGGTCCCAAATAAATTAATTGGTTTCAATTTGGGACTTCCGTATAAATTATTTAAACAGAGTTAACTGTTGGCCACGTGGATGTCACGTAGATGCATATGTGAATGCCACATGGATGCCAATTTATTTTAAAAACACCTGGAACCAGAACGACCCGTTCTCAAACCAGAACGGGTCGTTCTGGTTTCAGACTGCTAAACATAAACAATCAATGATTATAGTTCACGGTTATGAATCATGGAAGAAAAAGACCCAAGGTACATGGAAGGAAAAAGGCCTAAGGTACAAAGCATTTCAAACATTATCCCCACTAACCATATGCAGGACGTGCCCCCACTAAAAATTTTTTCATTCTTTTTTTTTTATATATAAAATATTAATAATTTTATAATAAATATATTATTAATTATATTTTAATTATGTTGTTATATCTAATA